AAGTCAATTACTAGAAGGCGTGTTTTGTTACTCAACTTGAGTAGGTGGAACATTGCCGCCGCCATTGTTTGCCGTGTTATATTAAGTTTCCAAAAGTCTATTTTTTTGTTAAAGCCAATTTCCGGTGTATCTAGTTCTATTTTGTGCCATGTCAAGACGTGGACCGAGTTTGTCTAAACGTGTTACGTCACGTCTCCAGTTTAGTAGCTTTAAATGAGACTTTGAGAAGCTGGTGTCATGTCAGGTATACAAAAAATCGATCAGAACGATCAAATGGCTTTAAAAGTGCGATGCTTAAAGTGGTTTTATTCAGATTGTTCAGATTTAAGAAGACCTTTAGAAGCAATATGTGAACTGTCTCCAATAGTATTTCAATAAATAGAATCCGTTATTGGATTTAGAGCAAATATAGCTTCAATTTATATAAAATTTATGATCAGCATTTATTTGCGTATGCCAGTTTGTTGTCACTTATATATTGTTTATTTTCGATGCTGTTATTTTATGGGCGGGGGGGGGGGGCAGGAGAGAACTAGGGATATATTAGTTGTGCCTCAAGCAAACTCATCCAGTTTGTTGAATTTCTTTATACTAGTATCAGTAGATCATTTCCTTTCTATAACAGTTCCAGATAGCTACGTGTCTTATTTTCCTTTATTGTTCTATATGATTCCTGCCTAAATGCATTCATCAAAATGTTGTGTTTTGTTTTAATATATATATTTTTTTTATAACGTTTTAAATCGTTGAAATCAAGTTCCTAGTTTTCCTTGCTAGACGTCTCTGGCTCATGTTTTCTTAGGTCCATCTGTCTTTTGGCGTCGTGTGGTCAAAACCTAGAATCTCAATTTTGACCCACTTACTTCGGCTGCCCTGGAGCCGAAACTTTGTGCACTCACTACACTCACCTACCCCCCATGAAATTGCAACCTTTCATGATCAGGGGTTGACCACGATGTACATTGCACAACAGAAAGTCAGGGGGGGGGGCTCATTTCTAAGGTTTTCAGGGCTTTGGTTGGGGGGGGGTGACCAAAACTTGTTAGGCTTGTTAAGTTGTTTGTTACTGGGGGCGCCACAGTAAACAGCAATTTAAATAAAACTGTAAATTCAGGGGGTGGGGGGCGAAATGACGCCCTGCGGAAAGTGACAGGTGTGTCTGATTTTTCACTACAGCATTCCAGTATATAAGTTTGTGTTTTTTCAACTTCCACGTCTAAGAAGAAAAAAGAAAGCGCTTTTCCAAAAATGAAAAAGTATAAATGAATTGTCCCCAAAACTTGAGAGATATTTCAGGCAAGTGGCTGAAAAGCGCCCGGGGGGGGGGGGGGGGGGGTGGGGCTCATAAAACTCACGATTTTATTTTATTTATTTATTTTTTATTTATTTATTTATTTTTTTTTTGCAAATTGCAAAGTCATGCACGCAGCCAGTATCGCTAGTTTTTATTTCTCTTGCCAATATCAGGATTGATGGGAACATACAACAGAAATGAAAAGCAGTTAGGAGAACTCGTATTTATATGATTAAATAATATGTTTCATAACAATTGTGTCACATTAACACTCACTTGTAGCGATGCACTCTTTATGTGTCCAGCATTGTATTTGTCAAGTCATACGACAACATTGTATTTGTCAAGTCATACGACATCATTGTATTTCATGGGCATCCAACGCCAAAGCATTTTTTAATCATAAGACTGCTACAACTCTGAAGTTTTGAGTGGCACTTATATTATACTTTTTATTACAATTTTTTTTTTTTTTGAAAATCCTGTTGTTTTTTTTTTAAATTTGTTTGTATATTGTTTTGTTTTAGCACTGACTTCATCAATATACGAGAAATAAATCATGACACCATCAAAACCTCTTTAATCTCAACTCCAGTGAACTGCCCTCGGATGACCTGGCGTTCAATACTCGCCACGACGTGACCCCGTCTCCCGCGTGTCTCCCACGTGTCTCCCTTTCACTTCCCTCGAGTACACATCGTGGTCTCCCCTGTCCTCATCAAACACGGGTTACTCTCTGATCCGAAGACTCCATTTGATTTCGTGTCACTCCAGTCTGGTCTTTTATCTCAGCTACGTTAGCTACAGGCCACGGGTCTTCATATTATCGCTTACACCAACATACAGTGCTTTAGGGTTAGCATTAGAAATAATATATACTTTTTTTTTCCTTGTCGTCCGTACCGTCTCCTCTCACCAATCACTCGAAGTGCATGTATTGATCTTTAGACATATGAATTCTAAATTATAGACATTTATATAAAGCATTTATTTTTAAATTTAAATTACAAATTGCTTTGTTTTGGTTGATGGATCATAAATCATTCGTTAATTTTTCGTTTATGGATAATAAACAATTTATTCATTTGTTAATATTTCTTTTATGGATAATAATATTTTTTTTTATTAGGAAGAAAATGAGAGGTGTTCGGTTTGTCCCGGGGTGGGGGGGGGGGAGGGAATACGATTCATTTCTAGCAATTTTTCTATCTGCTAACCGCATTAAGGCTATTGATAACACAATGTAGACGTTGAAAAGTTTCGTAACAACGGCCACAATGATAGCCCGTGTCTGCAAACTTTCCACTCTTCTGACAATAAATAAATTAATATTGTTATTGCTAAGTTAGTGATCAGCTTGTTGATTGACTTCCCTGCATACGTTAGCACGTGGCTCCCAGAGGGCTTAATATGTCGTGCAAGTAACACATTTGTTATTTTTAAGAGATATTTTTTTTTAGTGATGAACTGCCGTCACAATGCAACGTTAGTCCAGCACTTCCGTCGAGATATCGTTTTCGTTACGAGCGTGCACATGTCTTGTTACCCCAGTTGCTTTCAACATTCCTAATGCCGCGACCCTTTAAGACAGTTCCTCATGTTGTGGTGACCCCCCAACCATAAAATTATTTTCCTTCCCACGTCATAAACAGGGCCGGCCTTAGGCCAGTGCAACCTATGCGGCCGCAGTGGGCCCCGCATTTTCATAAACCCCACTTTCTAATACAAAATCTTAATTTTCACTTATTATCCTTATCCCTACCCAGACTGGGCCCCACGCAATTCGTTTCCCATAGGGCCCCCGCAATTGTAAGGGTCGGTCCTGTTCATAAATAAGTGTTTTCCGATGGTCTTAAGCGACACCTGTGTAAGGTTTGTCCGACCCCGAAGAGGTTGCAAACCACAGGTTGGGAACCGCTGTGTTATCATATTTCCTTCCTGGCAGCACACAACCGTAACTAACATGTTCAGCTGTTTGGTGTTAACAGAGGACCCTCAGAACATCCTCCACTGGACAAAGCGGTTAGGGTATGGTGAATCCTATCAGAATAATGTCCTATTTTAATAATTGTCTTCTCTTTACAGCTGACTCCTCCTCCTTCCGACAAACCCATCTACGAGAGTACAGTCATATGGGCGGAGGTGGAGGACACGGACGCCCACTACTCCGTGATTGGCAATCTCTGTGAGGCCACCGTGGAGGCAAGGCATCCGTGTGATTTTATACACAGGTCCATGTTTATCATTGGCGGTACATGTAAGTAGGACCTGGCATTGAAGTTCAGTGTTTATGAATGTTTGGCACACATAAGTAGATACTATCTATATGCAGTAAAGATCAAGGGTTCTTAACTTTTTTCGGAGGGCCCTCTTTATTTGAAATAATTTCCCCACTCATATCTCGATTAAGAAGCCATAATGAAGACGATCGTGTTGTAAAGTCAGTATTAAGCATTTTATGGTTAAACCTAAGAGTTATACTGCCCTCAGGGTCCATGTTTATCATTTGGTGATACAGAATAGTGTAAGCAAAGATGTATAGATGCGTAATCCTGGAAAATCTCAGAACAAATTGACACTAATTTCTGTGCTAAACAAATGGAGTCCCACATGGTTTGATTTCAATTTTATTTCCCCCAAAACTTTCCGCCCAGAACCTATATAGCAAGTAGTAGCAATTGATCTTCCTGGCCGGTAAATACCTGGCTAAGTGTTGTTTATGAAATGAATTTCAGCAACGGCCACGGTCAAATCTGTGTCTATTGACAGACACATACTAATTTCAGCTCCACTTCAAAAGCCTGGATTAATTGTGGGGATTGTTTTTATTCAAGTTACGTTTCTATATGCTTTTAACTGATTTCTATACGTCAATACGTCTGTTAAGTGATATCTTATCTACATTATTTTTTTATAATGCCCGAAGTTATTAAAATGCCGATTTAATTTTAAATTCTTTGGTAACGTAAATGCACTTTTGTTCCTAGATTCGTTTAAATAGTAAATAAAAATTGTTACCTTTGATGAAACGTTGAAAAAAAAATGTGTATCCAACGAATGCTTTATGTGTTATGTTTGATGTTTATGTTTTCATATTTTAGGGCCAGTGACAGTTTTTACCTTGGTGCTATTGGCGCTGCCTTTGGTGATGACAGCCATAGGTGAGCTTCACTAGGCTTCACTGGGAGTGAATAATTTGTATTGATATTTACTGTGAAAGACTATAGTCATTCTAAATTATAGGGTTGGACATACACAGTGTATTTTGTTCATACAGATAAAAATATGACATATAGCGATATACTTTAGAAATATAACGACCTGAATAAGATGTTATAAAATCATTATCAGGTCTATTATGGTTTTATCTATTATGTTTTTATTGCTTATGTTAGTAACAGATAAGAGCAGTAAATAAAATAATTATTTCGATGAAGACAAACTTTAAAATACAAAGATAAAATGGTATTAAATTAATAACGGGCAGACACCTTGTTTCAAATCCTCACGTCTGACTGTTACAGGCGTCAATTACCTGCACGAGTGCCCGCGGGAGCCCAAACTCCCCATCTACCTGGTCGTCGGCGGCTGCTTCGGCATCATCAAGCTCATCTTCCTGCTGTGGAAACAGATCAAGCGCCACCGGGACGACGTCATCGACCTCCATGACGACGACGACCTGCTCACCATGACGCGCATGACAAACATGGCGCTGAACGTCTTCCTGTCCGTGTGGTTCGTCTTCGGCCACTACTGGCTGATCCGCATCTGGAAGCCGCACTTCAAGGCGCCGCTGCACGAGCCCAGGAACTGGTGCGACGAGACGGTGTTCTTCTTCACGTTCTGGCAGCTCGTCATCTGCCACATCATCATCGGGCTGGTCATAGTGACCGCAATCATTCTGTACTGCTGCTATGTCTGTGTTAAATGCTTCGTGCAAGAGGATGGGTCCCAGGCAGTGGGGTCGCCCCCCAAGCCGCTGGGGGATCAGCAACAGCAGCAGCAGGGTACGAAAAGATGACGCCAGGCCACCAGCAAGAGCCAGAAACGAAAGAGTATAGAACATGTATAACATCGGGAAAAAGACTTTAAAAAAAAAATATTTATTAGTGAGTTTGTCATGCCGCGTCACTTCCAGCATTCTCATTGGATGAACTGTGTGACTCAACCGACCAATCAGATGCGAAGGATGCCTGCCTCGGTCTGAAGTCACTGCACAACACGTACCATGTTGCCTGCGATACAATATTTTATTAAGTAAATCTGTCGCATTTTATAACCAAGGTTCTCATCATCATGCATGTTAACAAATCTGCCATTATTTTGTATACACCTTTTTAGATTAGTCAGTTTTTACTGTACTTTATAACAAGAAAAGTTTAATGATATATTTATTTCAGCTTAAATATATTGAAACAAGATATGAGATAGGAAGTTTCTTTACCCCACAAATCTAGCTTTAGTTAAATATTCGATTCTGTAATCATTCAATGGTAAATAGAATATAATGAATACGCGACTTTGCTTGAATTTCCGAATAAGCGCTGGATTGTTTCTTGAATGCAATTTTTTATGTTAAAAAAAAGATAAAATAACTCAGTAGGTTTATCCATATAGTACATTTTTTTTAAAAGTTATTAATAGCTTAACACTTTTCCCACTGCTATGTGTGATATGGATCTATTTCTCTGGGCCGTCTGCTATGTATGCATCATACTGGTAGCATAGAGGCATCATACTGGAAGCATAGTGGTATCATATCAGTAGCATAGTGGCATCATACTGGTAGCATAGTGGCATCATAATGGTAGCATAGTGGTATCATATCAGTAGCATAGTGGCATCATACTGGTAGCATAGTGGCATCATGCTGGTAGCATAGTGGTATCATATCAGTAGCATAGTGGCATCATACTGGTAGCATAGTGGCATCATATTGGAAGCATAGTTACATCATACTGGTATGATGGTGACATCATATTTGTTGCATGTTGCATTCATACTATTAGAGAACTGGTATTTGGTGGTATCGCATTGGTAGCAATGTAGTTATGATTTTGGTAAAATATTGATATATATGTATATATATATATATCCATATTTATATCAAGGTGGTAGCATATTGTTTTTTTAAGCGCAAATTTTAACGGCATGAATGCTGCCCTATAATGGTGTCACTGTGCCGTCACAATGCTATGATGGCATCAGGCTGTTGTCGTATCCTCATCTCATCTCACTGCAATCGCATCAGTTTTGTCATCAAAACGTTATCGTTCTGCTGGCCAGCCTATGTCCCATTATAAAATATCAATGAAAGGACTGCTTTCAAGCTTAGCAAATGAATGAAATAGCGAAACGAGGTATGTGGAAGCTTGAAATAAGCTGTACTCTAATACTCTATCATGACAGCCATCCAAAAGCTGTTCTCTACTTCATATACATAGGACAGCCATCCAAAATGCTGTACCCTACTTCATATACACATACTCTGTCAGGTCATCCATCCAATATCAAAAGTATACCATATTAAACTCTTGATCATCTGAAACGTATATATTTTGTATACCCCTACTTTTGAGGCTGTTGTAAGCCTTTGGGGATAATGTGTTGTGTTTCGCGCGGTCATCTATTTGGACCTAACCTGGTTGTGTTTTTGACATGAACTTAGGAAATATCTGACCTAGACTGTTCAATATGTTTTTCTTAAGTTTGCCGCTCTGATTATCTCTCTATTATTGGAAGGCAGACACCCAGACGGACCGAACATAAATATTTTTACAAAGTTACAAAATTACATGTTGTCCATAAAGTATGTCCCGATTTTGGGGGGGGGGGGGAAATATGTAACACCTCACTTCCCCTTGTCTCAATCTGTCACATGTCCCGGAATCCACACTACTTCCCCATGTCACAGGCTGTCACATATCACAGAATCCACCCTACTTCCCCCTATCACAATCTGTCACATTCCCAAAATCCACCCTACTTCCCCCTGTCACAGTCTGTCACATGTCACAGAATCCACCCTACTTCCCCCTGTCACAGTCTGTCACATGTCCCAGAATCCACACTACTTCCTCATGTCACAGTCTGTCACATGTCACAGAATCCACACTACTCCCCCCTGTCACAGTCTGACACATGTCCCAGAATCCACCCTACTTCCCCCCTGTCACAGTCTGTCACATGTCCCATAATCCACCCTACTTCCCCCTGTCACAGTCTGTCACATTCACAGATCCACCCTACTTCCCCCTGTCGCAGTCTGTCACATGTCCCAAAATCCACCATACTTACCCCTGTCGCAGTCTGCCACATGTCCCAGAATCCACCCTACTTCCCCCTGTCACAGTCTGTCAAATGTCCCAGAATCCACTCTAACCACTTAAGTATTTCACATTATCGAACTAAGAAAGTTGTTAAAACATTAACAACTTGTTAAAATT